AGAAACTTTGCTATCTCAAAGGAGTACTTAAAAATGAAGCGTCACTAATTCAAAGTCATCAAGATACTTTTGATTCACTAATGAAGGCCTTGGAAGTCCGGTATGAAAATACAAGAGCTTTAGTAGACATTCATATAGCAGAAATTTTTTCTATAAATAAACTTAACAGCGGAAATCCATCTCAAATTCGCGCGCGCGCGCGATCAATCATAGATAAAGTAAGAAATCATTTGAGATCTTTAAAAATTTTAAATTCGAATCGAATCCTTTGTCTGCTGCAATTATATTGCATGTCTTAAGCAACAAAATTGATAAAGAATCTCAGCGATTATTTCATTTAAGTTTAACTACTACTAAAGTACCTAGCTTAGATGAATTTATTTCCTTTTTGGAACTAAGATGCATTCAGTTAGAAGCAGTCATTAAACCGCCCGAAATCACGGGGGAAAATGTTCCAATAAAAAATAAACCAACTTCCGGTTTAATTAATCCGCGGTGGAAATCGTTTCTGACTAAAGAAAAATTAAAACCAACCACTTCCGTTGAATCTATCAAATGCCAAAAAGAATGTTTGATTTGTCATAAAAAAAATAAGCATCCGCGATATTTAATTGTGTATCATTTTTAAATCATTCTCCTTTGGAAAGGTATGAACTATGTAAAAAGAATAACATTTGCACGAACTGCCTTAAGTACCACCCCGATAAAAAATGTGTGTCGACATCCCGTTGCAAGATATGTAATAAATTTCATAATACTAAACTGCATCGTGCCTCTTCACCCACGCCAGGCGAATCATCCAAGGTCAATACCGAGCAATGTTACGCAACGAATGCAAATGAATCACCGCGCGTTAAATATTTGCTGAGCGCACAGCAATCATATACATAAATAATATTCCAGTAAGAGTAATTTTGGATAGTAGCTCAGAAATAAATTTGATCGATTCAGATATTGCAACTACATTGGGATTAAAAAGAAACAAAATAAATTCAACGGTTTCTGGCTTTAACGGCCTTGCTCAAAAGATAAACTATTCTGTAAATGCTAATATTTCAAATCAAGATGGTTCTTTCAATCAACACTTGAAGTTTCTCATTGTTCCAAATATATCATTATTCACTCTCTGGCACTTCAGATATATCAAAAATTTCTCTTCCAAAACGCATTAAGTTGGCGGATCCTTCTTTCCACAAGCCATCGAAGGTTTCAATGCTCTTAGGCGCGCAAGTGTTCTTCAAAATTATTAAGGCAGATCAGATAAAAATAAATGATTCAGTAACTTTGCAAAATTCAGTGTTTAATTACATAGTTACTGGAGGGCTCCCGGCAGCCGAGGATATATATAAGCAGCAATGTTTTCGTCTCTCTGAACAAAAAGGGTTAGAAAGTTTAATCTCTAAATTTTGGCAGATAGAATAGATTGAAGATGTACCTCGCAATCTAAATTCACAAGCCAAGTTTTGTGAAGAAAATTTCGTAAATAATCATAGAAATGAATCGGGACAATACATTGTCCAGATGGATATTTTAAAGGAACCTAATTGTCTTGGCGAATCCAAACAAACGGCTATTCGTCGATTAAATACGTTATGGCCCCCTTCTTTAGAGAAGTGAAGAGAGACATTTTTTTTATTTTTTGAGAATTTTGTTGGTGGGAATGTGTGTGATTTGTCCCGTTCTGTATATTTCTAGACAAAGCATTTTCATATCCGTTCCTAAGGAACGCAAAGCAAAGGTTCGCTGACGCGGGGTATAGCTCAGTGGTAGAGCATTCAAATGCAGATCGAGGAGTCTCCGGTTCATACACGGGTGTTCCCTTCTTCAGGGAAGTGAAGAGAAATATTTTTTTGAGAATTTCGAAGGAGGGATTGATCTGTCCCGCGTTCTGTATATTTCTAGACAAAGCGATTTCGCATCCGTGACGCTGTGCGCACACATCGTAAAAATTTACCCATATCCTATTTCTCTAATGGCCCTGTGAAGAAGTATAACTTCAAAAAAGTTTTAAAATTTAAAATCTTTGAAAATTTCGGACACTTCTAAACATGAATAATTTTTAAGCTTCTGTATTACATTATTTGAAAAATTTTCTTGCGCATTGCTAAAAAACCCTATTTAAATCCATTTAGTTTTTCATAATTTTAAAGCCAGGTATTCAGGGCTTCTAACATAGAATCCCTAGTTTTGTATTGTTCAGATAACGAATTATATTTGAATTTTAAATGTCTGAACATCAATTTCATTCAAAGAGAACGTATAAATCACAAGCTTATATTTTTAAACTTGAATCTTTAAATAAAGAGTAATCAAAAGCATCTGGACAAATTTACAGTTAACATTTGCGCATATAAATAAATATAAAGATCCATTTTAAATTCAAGTTAAAAAAATATCTATTTATGCAAAATCCCTCATCATTTATGTTTCATTAGTGGCTATAACTGAAGAAAAGGTAATTAAAATTTGGACATTTTTTGTAATCTTATCCATGCAAAACTAGGAATTTATATTAGCTGCACTGAAATTCTGCATTTGAATTTCGAAAAATATATTTATGCGTGTCTCACATACTCAATTGATATAAATTAAAAGTAAAAATCTTTTTTTAAAAACAAGCTTTTATTTAAATGCTCTAAAAAGTATAAAATAAACTTTTCTTTTAAAATATTTTTTGCTATCAACTTATAAAGTCTTTACACAATTTATGATTATAAAAGCTTGTCGTGAGATTTAAGTACTCGTATTTACTTAGTTTAAAAATTTTAAAAATTAAAATTAATCATATCATGTTATTTAAATTGCTTGTTTATCTACACAGGTAAATCTCGCGACAAGCGTTTATATCATAAATTGTGTAACGACTTTATAAGTTGATAGCAAAAAAAGTTTTAAAAGAAAACTTTATTATTTTCTTTTTAGAGCATTTAAATAAAAGCTTGTTTTTAAAAAATGTTGTTTTTTTTTACTTTTAATTAATTTATTTATTTTTAGTCATCGATCGACAGAGGTTTCTCAGTCTGTTAATCTCATTCGACGCATTATTGTTTGCAAGATCGTGTGCCGGTTAATTTTGATCAGTCCAGCTAAGGGGTACTCAACCCTTTTTCCCGCGCCAGGCGACATATATATGATAGATATTTCACTCGGGCCGCAACAAGAGGATAATGGAAAGGGGGATAAACACTGTTAGACCAAACAACAATGGACAAAGCAAAATTAATTAAAATATTAAAACTCCTTTTTTTCTTTCTTTTTGCTTTTACTATAATTCTATATTAAAAACGAAAAACATAATTTTTTCCTTTTTGCGAGAAATATCTAAGCATTATTTTTGGAACATTTTTTGTTTAAAAATTACCGTTGTTTCAATCGATGTATGAAGTTTGAAGGCATTAACTTAAAAATGAAGCCCGAAAAAATTTTTTAACTTTAACAAATAACTCAATGTGAAATTGAATATCTCTTCATTTTATTTTAAAAGTCTTTATTTCTTTTTTTTCCCGAAGATTTCGTAGATTGATCGCTTAGAGCGCTGGATTAGTATTTTTTGTACCCGGGTTCAAAACAACATCATCACTTGGTTTTTATGATTTTTTAAAAAAATTCCCCAAAATTTTTTCGCGCATTTAATAACTTCACCAGCAATTTTGTATTTGGAAAGATAATTTATTTCGTCACGATACAGTATGCTTTTCTTTTTACAAAACAATGATACTTTACATAATTTCTGATTTTTTCTAAAATGAATCAATATCGATGCGTTTATATGAAAATGATTTTAGAAAACTCATACTTTGATCTTTTACAGTTAGTGATTTAAAAAATAAAATGTCGAACACTTTTTTACGAATTTTTTTTTGTGCTATAATTCATTACTTTTTGTGTTAATGGATGGCTGCATATGTCAAGCTGCTTAAGAAGCGGTGAATGTTCCCTTACTCCAGAGGTTTGATAGTTAGTGGGGGAAGGGGAATTTCCATGACAATATGTTATGCCTTTAAAAATGTTCGTGCAATGTCGGGGGGGGGGGGGATAAACCTGTCTGACAAAGAAAAGAAGCGAAAGAATTTCGAAACAGGGAATTTTAAGTTATAAACTCGGCAAAAGCCCGAGCAATGCATGGCGAAGTGGAAGGAGGGGGAGGGAGTGAAAGTCATTTTGAAAAAGGGAATTAGAAGTGCTGATTTTGTGAAGGAAAAGGTAAATTTATAAAAGTAGAGAAAGCCCGTACAACACTGGGCCACGCAGCTAGTCTTTTTAACTACTTGTGATATCGGCATATAATGGTCAAAACATGCATTGTCCTCTAAACTAAACGTGTAAACAAAATTTCAGCTCAACCGATTCAAGATATCAGCTTCAAAATTGAAATTCAAGATTCCACCCAAACAAATTATTTTAATTAATATCTTTTTATCTAATTGCGATACCGGAATAAAATGGTCCAAGCATGCTTTGTCATCAAAACTAAATGCGTATACAAAATTTCAGCTCAATCGGTTGAAGACATCAACTTCAAAATTGAATTGCAAGATTCCACCCGAACATTTTACATTGCAAGTTAAATAAAAGCTTGTAAAATATAGCATACTTTGTACGTATGCTGAGTGGAAGTATTGTAGAATATCTCGTTCTACAAATCAAACAAATGTCTAAAATAATTTACATGGAAAAATAATAATTGGAGGCGCGGGGAATCGATCCCCGTAACTATCGCATGATAAGCGAGCACTCTACCATCTGAGGTACGCCCCCGCGGTCCACACCTTTATTATTGTAAAAATGCTCGCCTTAACACCTGAACAAGATCGTTACAGTAACTAAGTCGATATCGGAATAAAAATGGTCAAAGCATGCATTGTCATCCAAACTAAACGCGTATACAAAATTGCAGCTCAATCGGTTGAAGACATCAGCTTCAAAAATCAGTTGCAAGATTCCACCCGAAAAAATTACTTTAATTAATATCTTTTTAACTAATTACGATATCGGAAAATAAATGATCAAAACATGCATTGTCATCCAAACTATATATATATATATAAACGTGTATACAAAATCTCAGCTCAATCAGTGGAAGATATCTGCTTCAAAAATGAATTGCAAGATTCCACACGAACATTTTACATTGCAAATTAAATAAAAGCTTGTAATATATATATATATATATATTTACCATAAATACTAATAATTTTCTTTGGATATTTAATTATATTTAGATTAAATTTTTAAAATATATATATATTCCACTTCTATAATATTTTTACATGTATTCCTTAAATTTCATATAATTTAATTGAGTGAGTGAGGGAATATTAACGTCGCGTACTATTCAACTACTCGAGGGCCTGTGCTGACGGAACCTACCTTGACTACTTGGCTACAAGTGGTCAAGGTATCGGATCATGGTTGGCATGTCACGAGTTCGAGCACAGGGCCACAAAAGACCCGCCGTGTAGAGGTGTGATGCACGTTAAATCTGTCGAGAGCTCAAACGTCCTCCGTTGGGGAAGTGTGGTAGTTAGAGAGAGGGGTCAGCTCAGGTGTCGTCCTCGACGCTTGACCATGGCTCAAAATTACGGGTTTCATCCCCAAAAGCCCTCGTGTAGCTGAACAGTACGACGTTAATATTCACTCACTCACTCACTCACTCACTTGTCGACGGGCCTCGTAATTTTAAACCATGGTCAAGCGACGAGGACGACGCTTGAGGATCACTCCCCTACACGACGGATCTTCAGTGGTACTAGGGTCGAACTCATAACACGCCAGCTACGAGTCCTTTACCTTGACCACTAGGCTGCCACAGCCTCACAATTTGATTGAAAACTGCATGTTATGAGTAAAAATATGCTGAAACATATGATGAACTTATAATGGATTTTTACACAGAAGCTAGATGTGTGAGATGCTAAATCGACAATGTGAAATAGTTATGAGAATATCGATGACAGTTTTTGAAATATTCAATTTAAATTTCAGTTCGAAATTTATTCGTTTTTTTCGCATTTAATATTAGAGTCGCCATAACAAATTAATAGTTTAACGCATTCATAGATTATAAAAAAAGAGTATGTGTGTACTTATGTACGGTAAGAAGTTATACTTCCTTGGCGTAACAAGATTAAAATCTTTCTAAAAACCTTTAGCGCGGCAAGCTGGGCCAAGGACGAAAGGCAGTCAAGAGCAGAGTTGAATTATACTAACCTTCAGTCAATCGGACCAGCCAAACCTGAGATAATCACTATTTAAATAAATTTAAACACCCCCGCACAGGGACAATAGGACCAATAACATGGGGGGTATCAGACTGTATCTGGAGATGAAGTGAACCGAATGTGACACCTGAGTCCTCATATTGAATGTCTCGGCAGGAAGAATCGTTCCTGAGAAAATTAAGACATCTCCACCTGAAGAGCCCCCGAGTTCTGGTCATTTTAAAATATATTAAAACAATAAAATAAAATAGAATCAGGACACCCAGCAACTCGAACCTGGGACTGGTTGTGAGCAAACACAAGAGTAATCCATTAGAATCGGTCCGGAGTCTGTAATTGCCAATGGGGTGGTGCTAGCTCGGGAAAGGAGAAACTAACTCCCCCCGGGTGGGGGGGGAATAACTGTGACGTAAATGACCACGTACATCCCAACAATACACAGACTAGTAGGTGATCCCAAAGTATCATCTTTCTGTCTCTGTAATATCGATACGTAATAAAAAGATCGAACTCCATAGGAAAAACATGGGGATTCTAATTTTAGGGATAACGCCCCCCTAAGCCCACTATCTACACATGAATTATAAGAGAATGAAAGAGCTCAACGAGGAGAACCTATGGTCCACGTTTCATTAACGAATCTAAAAAATTCTCGGAGCTATGGGGATTTCAAAAAAATTATAGCTAAAATAATTTTAAAATGTTAAATATGGTAAAGAGAAAGGGGGCTATGGTCCTGAGAAAATATATTTAGGATGCTCATAGGAAGAACAATTGAATCCAGCCGGTGCGGTCGACCAAGGTGGCGCAGGATTCGAGTTATTTCTGGGAAAGCCCTGAAGGAGGAGGGGGCCAATTCCACTTAAAGCTCGCGCTAATACGAAAATATGGTAGAGACCTCCAAAAATCAAGTTCAAAGCACAATTCCTTAGGAGGGTGAAATTTTTTCCTGTTCTCATAGGATTAACATGGGAACACGATATTATAGTGCTTAAGCCCTCCCCATGCCTACACAATAGGAATGAAGCAGATGACTGGATGGGTCTCATCGAGTAGTATACTTGGTTCAAATCTCAAGTCCGAGACTCAATCAAGAGCAAAGATATTGTGAATTTAAACAAATTTAAAAAGTTTAAGACAATTAAAAACTACGAAAGAAATAGCCCTATGAAAATGAAATTATAATAACTGAAAAGGCAGATAGAGAGAGATCAAATGAGCCAAGTTCGAATGGACTGTGAGGCTCGGGTACTTAGATATTGGCCAAAAAGCTGTAGAGGGGGTTGAATGCGTCCCAAAAGATATGGTTTATAGCATTAACTATTATGATCCCTTAAATATCAGTCCCATAGCACCAGAAAATGGCATGTTAGAATATTAGATTATGGTGTGTACGCGCGCATCGGTGTCGCTAAGGTATGCGCAAGCAACCGTGACGGTGTGCGCGCGAGCATCGTAAAAATTTACTCTCATCCTTTTTCCCTAACGCCCAAAAAAATTATAACTTTAAAGTAAATATACGAATACAAAAGGCTCTTATAATGTGCTACAATGTAATATAAATGTCTTTATGTTCATCGCAATGCGTTCGTAGTAAATACATCTATAATCATGAACTTGCAATTGTCATTTAAATTGGCTTATGTTTTATGTACATGAAAAACAATTTAAAGATTAATGTTTTAATTTTTTTTTTTCATTTCCTGTAAGTATGTTTGGTTTAATAACAAAAAGTGTTCAAACTAATGCATCAGAAATGCTCCGTAGGCGCGAAGGACTATCTTTCCCTACTAGTAGTGATGTCCCAAATCAGCGCAAAGAAAAAGTACGCAGACACGGGGGTATAGCTCAGTGGTAGAGCATTCGACTGCTAATCGAGAGGCCCCCGGTTGAAACGAAGGTGTCCCCTTCTTCAGGGAAGTGGAGAGAAATATCGTTTTGAGAATTTTGAAGGTGGGAAAGGTATGTCCGTTTCTGCATACTTCTGTATTCGTTCCTACGGAAAGCAAAGGTTCGTTGACATGGGGATATAGCTCAGAGTGGGGTAGAGCATTCAACTGCAGATCGAGAGGTCCTCGGTTCAAACCCGGGAGACCCTTTCTTCAGGGAAGTGAAGAGAAATATTTTTTTGAGATTTCGAAGGCAATAATGATCTTTCCCGTTCTGCATGTTTCTAATCAAAGCATTTTCGTATCCGATCCTACGGAACGCAAAGCAAAGGTTAGCTGACGCGGGGGTGTAGCTCAGTGGTAGAGCATTCGACTGCAGACCGAGAGGTCCCCGGTTCAAAACCGGGCGCCCTCTTCTTCAGGGAAATGAAGATAAATGTTTATTTTTTTGAGGATTTTGAAGGCGGTAATGATCTGTGTCCCGTTCTGTATATTTCTAGACAAAGCGTTTTCGCATCCGTGAAGGTGTGCGTCACATCCGTGACGGTGTGCGCAAGCATTGTAAAAATTTATCCTATTTTTCTGACGCCCCCCAAAAGTAGTATAACTTCAATAAAGGTATAAATGACATTGTGTGTGTGTGTGTTGGGAATAAGTTTTTACAGTTTTGAATTCAGACTTCTTTGCAGGAGTGTAGACTGTTAAAAGGTTGATGCTGAAGTTAGAAAACTAACATTTACAATATATGGAAAACAATATCTGCAATTCCATGATCTTAACGAGCAGAAGACGGCATTTTTACGTAGTACGGCAGTGTAAGCATGAGGTAGGAGCTTGTGGAGTAAACAACCAGGCCTCTGCAGTTTTGGCAGGTAATGCACTCCCAATTGTTGTTTTCAGTAAAGAATATAAAAATAACAAATACAAAAATAAGTCATGTAAACTTTCATATATTTTAATAACAATGAATTGTGAAATTAATTTCCAATTCATTGTCACGTGTTGGCTATAACTACGGTACTATCAACCGTATTTCTTATATATATATAGGCCATTTTATATTTAATTCTCGTAAACCTTACTCCTTTTAAAACATGTACTGTGCCAAAATACTCTCCTTTTGTATATTTATAAAATTTTAAAAATATAATGGTTATCTTACACAACATTTTAAATCAGGGGCGGCAACCGTGTAGCTGAGACGTGCCAAACCAATCTATGAGTATCATTCAGCGTGCCACATATTAGGAAATTTTTGAAATCCTTCGATTCCTACGATAATGTTTGCAGATTTAAAGAATAGAGGTAAATAATTTAGATTAACTGTTTTATTATTTATTAATTGTGGATCACAGTTAAATACATTTCTTAACATAAAAATAAACAATATAAAATGTTTCTATTTCTTCAACAAAGATAAAAACAAAATTAAAAATATATGTGCTTCCAACATATTTATTTAAATAAGAAATAGATAAAGTGAAATATAAATGTTTCCCTTCATTACAGTTAAATAAAAAATATAATCCAAATTAACTCTTTCACCACTCTTCTTTCATATCGCAAAACCAGTGGTATAATGAGTGACACTATTATGAGCATTTAGTTGTTAAAAAATTTCTTTGCGGAGTTGAAAAATTTTTCATATTAGGAAAGATTTTTTACTTTGATATGCAGAACCAAAAGTGAAAAGCAGAGTACACACACACACACATAAACACACACACACACACACTAGCAATGACATTCAATTATTTATAAAATAACTGTAAATTTATCCTTAGAATTATCTTTCAGATTATATTTCGTAGTTCCATAAATGTCCATAACTCAGAAGATGTTTGTCAAAAAAGATCTATTATAGCAACTTCCATACACTGAAAAATTGAGAGAGTAGTGCTGAGTTTCACCGAGAATTGTACCACGTGCCACAGGTCCATAGATTCCTGACACCTGTTTTAAATGTTCTTATTAACTAACCTTCTCCTATTCAAAAACAATTTATATGATAAAAAAGTGGTCTTACTCATTTGGTAGGGAATTGTATTAGATTCAACCATAAGAGTAGTTTTGTGTATCAAAAAATACATTGTTTTGGAGATCCCCTGAGAGAAAAATGAAAGTGATTTGACATAATTATAGTTTCTCTAAAAAGGGAAACGTTCACTTTCAAAATACACTGCATAAAGTGGTTTTAAATGTACGAAGTTATATTAACTATTATTCCTAAAATAAATGATGTTTTGGTTTTTCGTTAAGTTTTGAAGTTATTCCTTCAAATATACTTCTCCACTACCTTTCTTTCAAACTTGCTATTTTCTTTTGAGGCCACGGTAGCCTGATGGTCATGAACTCGTGTCCGATGTTCGAGCCCTGGTTCCACTAAAGCCTAGAGTTGAAGAGGAGCTGATGCACGTTAAATATGTTGAGGCCAAAAGTTCTCACGTTTGTGTGGTGTGGAAGTTAGGAAAGGGAGTTATCAGCTCAGGTATCGTCCTCATCACTTAACCGCGGTTCAAAATAACGTAGTCAGTCGTCAGTAGCCACCGTGTTGATTTAGAATGCAATATAAACCCTTAAATTGTGCAATTGAGTTAATTCGTGTGCGCTAAACAGTTCCAAATATGCACACTAAATATAATTCGAACGAGGTCGCATTTTATGCTGCTGTAATTTTCACACTCAAATATCAGCAAGCGCCATCTGCACTTGTAAAACTTTGACCGTTGTTTCTTATATTTTAAGATTTAGTCAAGAAACATCAAAAACTTGGATCAAATATTTGTATAAAAAATTACGGTAAAAGAAATATTTAGATTTTAGAAGCAAATTACTAGAAAATTTACATAAAATTATTACAATGAAACAAATATAATCCAGTAGAATCCGAAAACTTTGCCATTTCATTGCGTATTCAAAGATTTAAACGTCGAGATAGATAAGCTTTGAACATAAAAGATTTACTGACGTTTTATCTGACGTGTAAATTTTAACTGAAAAATGTACACGGCACAAACACAGACATTTGTATCTGTCAGTATCCGAAACACGTCATTTGCACCGATATAATCTTCCATTTGGAAAATAATTCGGCAACTTTTGAGGAAGAGGGTGGTCGTCCAGAGCTTCTTTCAACGGAATTTCCAAGAAAGGAAAAGCCGTTTTCCACAATTAGTTTATCTTTCTCTTTTGAAGCAGTGATTCCCATTCCTGCCTGAATCACCACTATTTTTTGTAAACAATAATCTCCAATTCTATTGGTCTTGCTGCTTCTTAGCAAAATCTCTCCCAAATTTCATTGGAAAGCTCCTCTTATAAAAGCTTAAAAAATATATATACAGCTACCATTTGCTTGTCGAATCCTTTTAAGAAGGGCTGTTTGGCTTACCTTAAAAATGAATAGTGCTTCTGAAAATGAATGTTTGATTGAAGAGAGAGAGAGAAGTTCGGTTGAAGAATTTTCATCCTCTGAGAGTCTGATGATGATTGCTTAGATAGTTCTAGAGACTGGTTTTAAATAGATGTTACCTCTCCTCTACCTAGTCATCCTAAATTTCCATTTACTGGAAATCCAGGAAAAAAAGTATGCATCGGAGATTCTGGAGATCCTTTAGAATATTTCAACCTGTTCCTTGACGATGAAATGTTCTCATTTATTGTAGAAGAAACAAATAGATACGCCGAATCATTCTTTGAGAATACAGAATTGAGACACCTGCTTCTAGGGCTCTAAAATGGAAAAATACGAACAAAGAGATGAAAAGATTTATCTCTCGGTTGCTCCTACAAGGCGTAGTATAAAAACCCGTGGAAAAGTGGTTTTGGTCAAAAAGACCAATTCTATCCACTACATTTTTTGGAAAAGTTGAGTGAGGTGCGCTATGGACTTTTGATGAAGTTCCTGCACTTTGCAAATAATGTTGCGTCCAGTAGCGATTTAGATCATAACATGAAGCTAAAAAAAAATAAGAGAGTTTCACGATCTAGTAGTACATAAGTTTAAATCTGTGTATGTACCGACACCGGATATATCAGTGGATGAATCGCTGATAGCATATAAAGGTCGATTAAGTTGGAAACAATATATTCCTCAAAAACGAGCTCGTTTTGAAATTAAATTGTTTCAGTTATGCGAATCAGAAAGTGGCTACATTTGGAACTCAATGATATACACAGGAAAAGGTACTGCCTTCAATTTAAACTATAATGATTATGGTCTTTCGACGAAAAGTGTCCTGACTCTTATCCACGAATTGAAGGGGAAAGGTTATTGTTTATCCACTGACAATTTCTATACATCGCCTGAATTAGCGGAATAACTGATTGACAGTAAAAAGGATATCTGTGGAACTTTACGACCAAACCGAAAAGGTTTACCTGTTTCATTAAAAAGTTCCGCAGTGAAGAAAGGGGAAACTATAGCCTTCCAAAAGGGTAAAATGTGCGTTTTAAAGTGGAAAGATAAAAAACCCCTGCATATGCTTAGCACTTTTCATAACGCTGACATGATGGAAGTGAAAGCTAAGAAGCTCTGTGAAGCTGAAACCAAAGGCCGTGGTGCTTTATAATAACACCATGGGGGGTGTTGATAGATCAGATCAGTGTCTATCTTACTATCCTGTTGCCCGAAATCAACAGCGAAAATACTACAAGAAGATTTTTCGACATTTGTTAAATCAAATTGTGTGGAATTCCTTCATTGTCTTTAAAAAAATGGCGGGATTTTAAATCATATTCGTTTTCGAATGAAACTGATAGAACGATTGATAGAAGAAGGAGGAAGTGATTCTGGTTCTCGAAACTTTGTTACCCCTAAAATTTCTGAAAATGTAGTCCGCTTAATTGGAAGGCACTTCCCTTCATATGTAGAGTGACTCTTGAAAAAAAAAAAAGTGCGAAAATGTGTGGTATGCAACCTTAAGATAAAGGATAATGGAAAACGCATTCGAAAAGAAATTCGTTTTTAATGTAAAGACTTGTAATGTCGGACTGTGTGCAGTGCCGTGTTTCGAAAAATATCACACTGTGACATTTTTGTAAACGACATGTATGTGTCAATGTATGTAAATATTTTTTCTCAAAATTAATGGTTTAAAAGCAATGTATTTATTCTTGCACTATATATGCATATGTACACTTCTAACTTCAGGAATGTACAATTGTTTAGATAAACTTTTGGCTTTGTAAAAGGTATTTTGCTTTGACTAAGCATTTTA